AAAGGTAAACTTCCGTCTTCTGTCATATTCTTCTCTTGCTCGTTCCACATCTAAAAGAAATCAGATTTGTATTATTGCAGGATGAATGGGTCGTGTGTAGGGTCTTCCACAAGAGCATAGGACCGAAGAAAAGCCCACCACCTGGCACGGAAAGGATCAACTCTTATGCTGATGATCTTTTGGACTCCGGCACCTTGCCTCCCCTAATGGATCCCCCTCACATGGAATACACGATGGGGCCTGGTTCCAGCTTCACCAACAATGATCAGATCTTTGACTTCAAAGCCCTTCCTCCCAGCTTCACCGCCATGATGGCCATGGAGAATCAACAGGTCATGAACCACCACCAGATGATCTCAAATCCACTTCCTCACAACCCGGCTTTATACGCTCAACCCCCTCCGCAAAGCGCCTACTACTCGCTCCTGGGTTCCGCGAATCCCGGCTACTTGCACCATGACGAAGCAACGATGGGGGCTTTCGCTACTACGGACAACGATGCACCATCCGCCATAAGGAAGCACTGCAAGGTGGAGCAGTACTCGAACCAATCCATGGGATGTCCCTCGCAGGACACCGGACTGAGCACTGACCACAACACCGAGATCTCGTCCGTCGTGTCCAAGCACTACGTCGACGACTTCGACGACCCCTGGACAAACTACGGATTCTGAGCCATTCCCGGAAGGCGCCCCCTGGTAATATACGCGCGCTAGCAGCACCATTTTTAGGATCCATTGATTTGCCCAAGGCCACTCATGTCTTATTTGTCAGAGAGTGCAGGCCTTGTCCTTAGATTTCCTCACTGTACATAGAGTTCCGGTTGTCCATTATACGCGCAGATCAAAGTCTTCTATGTTCATAGAACGAACGGAGAAGAAGGTGTGAGCACTGATGTCGGGGTTTGATTCTTTGGTTGTGTTAGTATGTGATTGTAACTAGTAGGATTTGTGTCTCTAATGAATTGACCTGGTGTAGTACATATATATATATATTATTGTTCTTGGTTTCTGTCTCTCCAACTCCAGCTTTTCCATAGATATAGTTCCGATCCATATCTTCATCTTCTGGGCTTGGATCGTAGTGGCTGGACACATTGCAGGATTCAAAGGGGGTGTAAGAAAGAAGAAGAAGGTTTGTTAGAAGGGGGGGAAAGAAGAAACGCTTTAAAGTCGGGTTAAAGGTGAGGAGAGATGGATGGAGATGCAAGTGGAGGTGTTATATTCTTGTGAGTTGCTTCCGCCAATAATAGCTTGCTTTCCATTCAAAGCAAAGCGTTTCTGGTCATCTCAAAGACCTCAAATCCCCCCCACCTTTCATGCATCAAACTACGGAGGAAGAAAGAAGTGGGAATATTCCTCCTCGGCCACCCTTCTCCTCACCTCTGTATGCATTAACTGTATACGCCCTTACAAAGACATACTTCATCCGAGTGAATGTATGCAACTTGAAATAAATTCTTTAGATCAATCAATTCACCAGCATACTATGAGTTGTCGTGGATGGATCAACCAAGTGTGGATGCTGACATGCATAGCATATGTACAATATGCTGATACATTTCGTATACGCATCGTATGCTCAGAAACTTTCCCCACTCAAGTACCTCACAAGGAGCTTCTTCATAATCCAGCAGTAGACACAACCATATATATGTCATGGTTACATCAGTCTTGCACAGTATAGGTTACATGTTAAGCATAACTTGCATCTGAAATGTATCTGTAACAAGCTACTTTCTCGTTTCTTCTTTTAAGAAGACTTGAACCTCATTGAATGCGAGTTTCTCTGGCAAAACAAGAGATTTTGTCTGTTTTCCTTTTCCTCTTTAATGTTATAATGGTAAGTAATATGAGGTTTTTCTTCAAACTTAGCTTCGTTGCCCAGATTTCTTCTACCGAAGAGTATGTTATCCAGAAGGAATCCAAAGAAGAAATTGATAAAGAAAGCCTGCTAAACATGGGACGAGAGAAGGATGGGAAGGACTTGCCACATTTCTCTGATAGCAGAAAGCGATGTGGATAGAATGGGGCCAAAAGAAAGATCCCATCTTTCTAGTTGAGATGAGGATGCACCCCCATCATATATGCTTCGCTCACATGAGACACAGTCTTCTCCTCATGATTTCTAGCCTCTCATTAGTTTAATCCAGTCTTAAAGCCATGAGTGATGTGCGACTTCCCCCACCTTTGACACAAAGCAGCCACAAGGATTAGCTTCGAGCGTAGGGGGGGTGGCCTCGTTGATGCATCCATCACAGTGGCATGACATCACCGACCCCTAGTTGATAAGGTTTGGTAACTGGTGGTCTTTAAACATGCCTTTAACCTACCTACCCTCTCTCTCTCTCTCTCTCTCTCACTCTCTCACCTTTTTCACTTTCAATGCGTGTGTCATTGTGAAGACTCTCGGAAACACTTCAGGAACGTTGCAACATAGTATATTTAATTACCAGCTTTGTGGATGCCTCATTTGATCTGCAAGTGTCATCTGGATTTAGTCCTAAGATATGGTTGTGAGAACAGCTGGTGTGAGAAGCATTCTTCTCATGCACTGAGAATTTCTAGAATCCACTAAATTTTCCTTTTCCCCATAGATCATTGTAATTTCGATAATTCAAGTATTATATTATCTCTATTTCTTTATCAGACGTTACGAGGCTCCCGTCAATACAGGATGAGAAAATAAGACGAAAAGAGAGCAAAAAAGAAATGTTAGCATGTGATTCCACTTAGTATAATGTTCCAATTAGATGATATGAAACCGATTCAACATAGTCAAGCAGCAGCTTTCAATTGGGTAGAGGGATCAAATGAAGTTGATTACAAATGTCAGGTGGTGATGATGCGCCCACACCACCTGAATCACTCCCATTAGAAAGGCCAGTGGAAGTAGTTTTCCATCATACATTAAACATATGTAGGTGATGGGGACTGTCTACCTTTCCCGAGAAAGCTGAAAGCTTGAGGCTTTCTTTCCGGCCTCCATCCCCTAAACATTGTCGCATTAATCACATTGGATTCTGGACAGGTATTACTGGCATGTAAAGGCTTTCCACCTTTTGGACATATTTCCTAACTCTTCTTTCATCGAGTTGGGAAAGCCATGACTCGATGGATAGGAAGATTTTGATTCGGAGCAATAACAAGTTGACAGCATGTTTGGAGGGTTCTGTCTCCATCGAGTCAAGTCTAACTAAGAAGGGTTAATGGATGAGTTGAAATGACTTATAAGACAAAGAGAGGTTTGTTTTTTCTTTATTGACTAAAAACGATTAGCCCATAGTCATTTTATATTGTTTTTCCCGATAATTTTGGTAAATTATATTTGAATCGCATGCAAGAACAAACATACTTGTTGGATGAATCCACAAGTGTTTTGGGACTCTTTTAATAAATAAGATTTTATGTAAGAAAAGAACAAGTGAAAGACAAAAGAGAACCATCGATTGCTTATAAAAATGGGAGTTTAATAGAGTTATCTTATCAATTCCATTACAACATAATACCTTAATTATTGAATCTCACACAAAGTCAAAATAAAGACCTAATATGGTTGACATTCTCTCACCATCGCTTGGTCCATAGAAAGCCACGACTCGCCCAATAAGAGGAGCAGCATTTTGTTCACGTGCGACTCTGCAGCACACTCGACCTTCCCATCCACTCCACGATATGACACAGCAGTGAGATGAATTTTGTCCCAGAAAGAATAACTCAGATAAACGAAAAAAAAAAGAAGGAAAAAGATTAATAATGTTCTTTCAATTCCTTTAATACACATTTTTTTTAATTAAGGAAGACCTCTCTCTAATCAGTTAATAATTATATTAGTTAATTAAAAATGGGATCATTGTCATGGCTAAAGCTGGGCAGGCCAATTGATTTGCTGCACCAGCAAAACTGTTCTCAGTACTTCGCTACTAAGGAACTGAAACATCCATCTACACTGTGATGATGGTTTGGAAGCAATCAAAAGAAGACCGGAAGAATGGGACAGATTCTCTCTCTCTCTCTCTCTCTCTCTCTCTCTCTGACCCTGGAAGTTTGCCCAACCACTCCTATCTATATCTATCTATCTATCTATCAGAGACTGCACTCAGTGTGATGACAAGGAAAGGCTGTGAAAAGAATGGCTGTGTTATCCCACCATTAGGTTTTTGGGGCAATGTAGCATTATTAGTCCCTTCCTTTACCATAAAATAGGATGAGCCATGCTGACTGACACCCCATCAGCTCCAGTAAATGGTGGTTGACATAAGGATCAGTGAGTGAGTGGATAGCAGGTCAGGCATGCTGTTGTAGTCAAATTAATGCACTTGTACTTGCTCTCCTTCGCCATGAGATGAAGAAGCATCTCCCTAAAAGCCATTTGCATCAGGATTCGTGAAGTCCACCTGGCTAATTTAAGATGACCCATTGGATTCACATGTTGGGTCTCGATCAGAGCTTATATGGGCTGCATCTTTCGATCCGGTTTAACCCTTCTTCGGATCCGGCCCATCATTAACGCGTGCTACTTTTTCTCATGGAGCCATCCGAATGATTTGGACGGATGCGGTGACCCTATGCGTGTGAAGCTCCGGTAACATATGCTCCTCTTCTAAAGCGCCCACATTGTGCCATATGATTCTGACCGTACACGGCGCAAGATCGACGGTTCAGATCGTATGGTTGTCTTCTTTTAGGTTGGTGAGGGAAACGTCTCTCTTACCCATCGACACGCTGCCCACCTTATCCACAGGTCAAAAAGTGGGCCGCGGTGGGTCCCGCCTGGGACCTGTGGATTGTGCTTTTGGGTGTGGGATTGGGGCCCCGCTTCGTGGTTCTCGAAGGCCATTATCCGAAAGATATCCACCCGAAAAATCTTTCGGATACCCACCGTCCATTTTGGGTATCGTGGTCCCGCTGATGTTCATAAACGGTCAGGATTTACGATGAGAAACTAAATGGACGGAACGGTGAGGTCCAAAACGGGCGCGTTTCTTTATCCTTTTGCAACCAACCGGTTTCAATTTGCCACGCCTTTTCGATTCCTTCCGTCTTCCCTCGATTCCCTCCAGAATCTTTCGGACTGGCCTCTCTAATTTGCTCTAGGCTTTGCGATCTGGATCGAAAAAGGTTGCATCTTTGGAGTCCATGGCTGAAGTTTTGCCCGGAAGGAGTCTCCTTTCGCCATTTGGCGGCCACGATTCCTTCATGCTTTCTTCGCAGAGGAGGAACCCTTCTCTTGCGGCGTTCCGCTGCGGTGCCTCGCGGAAGATCGACCCGTTGAGGCCTTCTTCTTCTTCTTCTTCTTCTTCTTCAAAGAGTAGTAGTTTCCATGGCAGAGAGTTGGTTACTGGGCCGCCGAGAGGGAGGCCCGTGAGGGGTTACCTCCCTTTGATCCCCTTACAGGTGCGTAGAAGCTTCAAATCCCGATCTTTCCCCCTTTTATTCTGATTAATAGGTAAAGATTTGATATTTTATGATATAAATTAGGTATCTTTTTCGTTTCAAGTTTCTTCTTGAAGTTCCCCTTTTTAGTTTCGGGCTTGTTTTTGCAGGTGAAAATTGTCTTTTTCCCGTTGATCTTATGCGAATCCTAAAAATTTGTGGTTTTCCTTTGTTTCCCCCCTTCTCTCCTTGGCGTTCTTTCTCAATAGTCAAAATATTTCTGATTATAGGTTAGCTTATGCATGGGAATAATTGGTCTTTTTCGCATCTTCTGCAGAACCTAAAAAGCCGTGATTGCTGTATAGATTTCTGGTTACTTTGAACTTTCTAGCGACCACGTTTTCGGGTGACACTGCAAATGACTCTTCCCATTGGGAAATCTTTGGAATGGTTGGACAAGGCTCTCCAGCCCAACATGAAGGTGATTGAGTCGGCACAGGATCTCCATGACTCGTTGTTGAACGCAGGTGACAAGCTCGTCATTGTAGATTTCTTCTCCCCTGGATGTGGAGGCTGCAGGGTCCTCTACCCAATGGTATGATTTTTCAAAGGATTCGAATGTGAAAAAAAAAAGTGATCTTGTTGTTTAATTCTTGAGCAATTTTGGTAAAAACAAATCCCTCTGTCTTGTGTGCAGATCTGCCAGTTTGTAGTGATGAACCGTGGTGTTCTATTTCTTCGAATAAATCATGAGAAGCACAAGTCCATGTGTTATAGCTTGAACGTTCACGTCCTCCCCTTTACTAGGTTTTACCGAGGAGCACATGGTCGCCTGTGCAGCTTCAGCTGCACCAATGCAACTGTAAGATTCAGAAACCCTTTTTTTCCTCCATTTTTGCTTATGAGTCTTTGAATTGTTATTGTTTTAGGCTTTTCTTTTTCTCTACCGATGACCAATTCCTAGGTGTAAATTCTGAACTTCTTTAGTGCTTGGATTGCGGCTTTGATACCATTGCTGATTTGAACTTTACTAATGCATCATTCAGATCCATAAATTCAAAGATGCATTGGCCAATCGGAGCTTCTAGCTTTGGCTGCAAACGAGGATCTCTCCTTCAATTACACCAGAAAACCTGTTCTTGCTCCAATTCTTGATGATGTTGCAGACAGAGCTGCCGCAAGCCCAATACTTACTATCCCTGCAGCTCCTTAAAGGCTCATCCAGGATTCTGAGGACAAGGCCTTGGTCACAGCTGGGGGATGAAGAGGTGGACAATGAAGTCCCATCTCCAACTATATATCTACCTACATTGTTCTCCAAACTGTCCTGTGTAGTTGTACGCCCTTGTCGGTGTCTCCTCTGTGGATATGTAGCACAGACGCAGCAAACGCAGGCTCATGCTTTTTTTGTTTGAGCCTGATGAGTGGTTTATGTTGATACTCTCTCTTGTTCTCATGAAGTTTGTCAGTAGATGTGGTTACTGTGAACTGTGAGCTACTTGTGACCCATCCTAATGAATTTTTGTGTGTTCAAGTGGCCGAAGGAAAGCTTATATATCCATGGAGATGCAGCTTCTTTTACTGTACTTGTTGCTTAAGAGTAAACAAAGATTCCCAAAACCTCAGGTAATAGATAATCTGTGAACAGTGGAACTGTGGAATCGATCACAGAAGATGTCATGGAGGCTGTTTCTTCTGGTAAGAAACAGTGGCTGAACGAGTTCTTTAGGAAGCCAACATCTTGTTCATCTCCAATCCATTCCTATCTCGTGATAGCATGGCTCACGAGTTGAAAGGATGAAGGAGAGGTTAACCACCTCAAGGAAGAGACCAGTTTTGACGAACAAGAGGTGATCAGAAAGCGCGAGACGTTCTTGGAGATAGATCAATCAGAAGTTTATGGATGGGAGGGACCAGAAAAATAAAATGATAACAAAATTCTTATTTGATGTCTCCATATTTTCTACAGTCAGGAATTGGTGGCCTATAATGATGTGAGAGTCAAAAGATCATGACATCTTTGATTTACGAGCATGGGTGTAGGTATCAGTGGAATTTGACTCGAAGAAGATGGTAGGAGATATAGCATATGCAACAGGTCGTGAGGTTGATTTTTGTAACATGGAATCAACCGAGAGAATTACCTCAAGGATACACTCTTCCGAAAGAGGTACCTAATCATGCTTGATGATATTTGGAATGAAGATATGGACTTTTGGAATGATCTAAAGCTTATGTTGGGAGGTGGAGCAAGGGGAAGCAGAATGATAGTGAGATGTGGATGGCTATAAGAGTATATAATATGTAGGATTAAAATATGAAATGAATGAGAATATGTAGAAAATACAAAAGCTCTCTACGTGCTATATAGCAAGCAATAGATAAGTTCACTAGGCATCAACATGCACAGACAAGACAAAAACTTTAAAGTTTTAAATTTTTTAATGTGAATTCAAAACTCTTAATGAAATATTCTAATTTTATCATTGGTTTTTTTTTTTCAAATTTTTTTTCTATTGTAAACTTAATCAATTATGGTAAAAACTTAAAAGATCAAACAGTGGTAGCAAAAAATTTGTGAAGTTTATCTCCAATATTTGATATGATTTCTATTACTATAAACGAAATTAAAGATACAAATATATTGTTTGTTGATGAATTAATAGACTTGCTTTTAGCTCATGAGCAAAAAGTGAATCGATCTTGAAACTTCATAATATGTTATTTAAATGAAGATAGATTAAAAGAAATACTAAGATAAAAATTCAAAAGCATTCATTAATATGATAAAAGTCATGGATGACATAGCATTCTAGGCAGGAGACAATCAAATGAGAGTCAAAGGAATTCCAATGAAAGTAACAAAGAAATTCATTAATATTTTTATTCTAAAAGAATTAGATATATTGAAAAGGATTGCTGGTAAAAAATAAAAATTCAAATGTTGCTCTCTACTTTCATTATAAAAAATATGGTCATCATGAAAAAAATTATTAGAATAAAAATTAAGTAAATTATTATGAAATAATAATAGTGAAGAAAAGGATAATTTTTTTATGACATTTGAAAAAGAATATTTTAGACCTATTTTATCTCCGGATAATGAATACAATAATCATATGATAAGGGACAAAAATTTATTTTAAAATCTTGATGATTCAATTAGATCTATGGTTTAGATGAAAAATGATAATAAGTTCAAGTGAAAGGAAAAAAAATAATTTCTTTAAACACTAAACCTGGTAAAAAATAATTATTGATGAAGTGGTGTATATTTCTAGTTTAAAACAAACTCTCAATAGTATATAATAACTGATGATAAAATAATATTATGATTTTATTTATGAAAAAAATTTGATTTATGAAAAAAATAAAGAATCGATAACAACTATAAGGATGACAAAAAATAAAATATTTTTGTTATTATTTTTAAAATATTTATATGAATCAACATTATGATATAAAAGATATGGTTATCTGAATTATGATGAACTAAAAATATTAAATTAGAAGAATACAATAGTTGATTTATCTAAAATTAAAAATAAAAATACTATTTATGAATCTTATATTTTTAGAAAATAATATAGAAAAGATTTTTCAAACTATTCTTGGAGAGCAAAAAAAAAAAAGTTTGAAACTTGTGCATATAAATATTTATGTACCTATGTACACTATCTTACATGATGAAAATAAATATTTTTTATTATTTACAGATAATTATTTAAGAATGTGTGAATATATTTTTTTGAAAAACTTCGGTTTTTCTTCCTTTTTCCCTTAGTATTTACCTTATGTTTGAAAGAACTATTTTTCTACCTTTTCATGACTTATAGGAGATTTTATAAGATTTTTTCTTATATATATATGTATATTCTTGGAAAACAGAGTATATTAATTATTCTGATGCCATTTTAAAAATATTTGTTTTCATAGATGCTACTGCATGAGTTTGATTTATCTGTAGCTCTGACAACCAACATGCAATTTCAATCAAATAGTGATGATGGCTACTAACATTTCTTCTGCTACAATTTGTAGATTGACGTAGAGAACAAGATGGTGACCTGTGAAGATGAAAGGAATAGCAGACTGGAGGTAGCATGTTATATAGTACAGTAGCATAAGGAATGGAAACATTACTGGCAGTGATTTTTTCCTGATAAATAAAGACTGCAGGGATGAGATCAACCAGGAGGAGGAATTTACACCAATTCAAGACCATGATGTAACGATGTAAAGCATGTTTGCTGATAGAAGAGTAAGGAGAAGCAGCTCGCGGATGTGGCAGAGAATTATGCTCGGAGAGATTTGGAACTCAGAAATCCTATTCGTTTTTTCCTTTGCACTTGTGTGCTTAGGTCGTGTCTTCTACTTGCGACTTCCTGCTTGAACTTGTGAACGAAAGGAAGGGATCAAAAGCCAAAGTATATTATGGCCTCACAAATATAGAGTGAGGCCAATGTTTGGAAATGATTCATGCCGTTCTGCATCTCCTACTTCGTTCGAACTGCGGTGGACCGGAAGAGAGAGAGAGAGAGAGAGAGTGATGGATGGAAGACGGCAAGGAAAAAAGAGCCCCTGCTTTGAAATAGAATATATACTTCCTTCTTCGAACTGCTGCCGGTCTTTCCAACTGGGCCATGTGAGTTCATGTGCAGTCTCTCTCCAACACGGAGGAGGAGGGCTTTCTGATGTTTGACAACGCTCATCCCAATACCACTTTTCTTGAGCTTTCAGCAAATGGAGCGCAGGCAAAGGAACATCTTCAGCATGAGATACCCAGCTTCCACTCTACGGACACGGGACGAAGGAATAAGAGGAATCCAAGTCACTTGTTGTGGATGGAATGCACCGACTATACAGTAGCAGAATTGTTCCGTGGAGATTGAATAGCAGTAGATAAGAACAGGGAGATGGATATGAGAATAGTTGCTTGGAATTCTCATCATCAAAGTTTTATTCCATGGCATGGGAACAAAACCTTTTTACAAGATAGGATTCTGCTTCCTGTTGAGTTCCTGAGCTTTGAATAGTAATGTTTAATGAAACAACTTCGATCTTCAATCAACATGTCACCCTCTGATTCGAGTAGTGAAAGCCTGAAAGCATCTATTTGTTTACTGACCAGAAGTCATGGAAGTTAAGCAAGTAGAATAGTCCAAGTTGATAGTGGTTCTCACGGTCATACCTCGGCAAAAGGGAAGAGAATAATATAACATGGTGACAGAAAAAAGAGTCTCAAAGTTTACGTGATCTGATCAAAGTTTGTGATCTGTGCTTCCCAGTAAGAAGATAACATCTTTTACTCGAAATGAAACACTTCTTGACTGGCAATGAAAGAAGAACTGCGCAGATGGATTAGCTACAATTAAGCTTGTCGTTTAGCCACACGAGTCTTTCTTCTATCATCTCTAGATCCTGAAATTGAGGTAAGGAGACATGTTCTTAACTCGGTGACGAATTTTGCGTCCAGGAATCAATCCCCGATGGAGATGGCTTAAGGAGTACTAACAGTGTAGAAGTCGCTCAAGTCAAAATTATGAGGCCATAGCCATGTGCATGGAGCATCAGAATGAGATAGATAATATATCACCCTACCAGAGAGCTTCACGCGCAAACCAAATCCCTGTAAAGCTACCCTCTCTACTTATCATGAACTCCCAAACTGAGATATGCTATTTAATTGGTGACTGTAGCAGCAAACCGTGATGGCAACTTAAAATAAAGCTGGTCTAGCATGGCTGACAGGGTTCAGAGTCAGTGTGGCTGAAAACTCCCATCACTCACCTTTAAGAAACTAAAGAAAAAAGTTCATTCAATCCTATCAAATGGCAGAAGAATCACAGCAACAATCAAGATATCCACTGTGCTTTTGCCCTCTAGGGTTTGCTGTCTTCTGGTTTTATATGCAGAGGATAAGATACACTGAACTCGGAGAAGCAGCAAAGGAGCTCCAGCCACCGTTCCCTTTCACTTTAAATCCTGTATCTGCTCTGTCCATTTACTCCAGGGAGAATCTACCACTGACTTCCTTTAATGTGTGTGTGTGTCATCTCTTGCAGTGAGTTACAAGTTACAAGAACCTTGCTCGACTTGCACCTCGAAGTTGGTTCGAGCTAAGCAGTAGGTCAAAGTCAAGATAGTAATAAGAAAGTGTTAGCAGAGCAAGGCAAAGAAAAAGAATATGTTACTGTGTAGCTCAGTTTCGGTTAGCTGTTAATATACTATTCCTCCACCGGTCCATTTGAGCATCTTTTGAGGGTTTCTTTTAATCCTCTTCTCTCCTTTCGATCCCCTCCACTTTGGTCTATAAGTACGCAGGACCTTCCTCAGGCCTTCCTCACCGGGCTTCT